CCCCCTACTGAGCCCCTCCCCGCTCCCTGCAGCACTGCGCCCCCTAGTGCTGTACTGGGGCATCGGGGCCAGCCCTGGTTGATTCGCCGTGGCTGGATCAGGACCCCTTGCCCGCCTTTGGGCAAGCGCAGGTTTTCGCGAGAGGACGTTAGCAGAACCCCGAAGCGCCTGCAGACACTGAAGTGAGGAAATGCCGGCCAAGGCCCCCGCTCCGGGCGGCTCCTTCCAACGGGCTGCGCGCCCTGTCATCAGCCAGCCAGCCATCACGGGCCAATCACAGCGCCCGCACGGCGACTGCCCGAGGCGTGGCTTTCCCGAACGGCCCCGGGAGACTCCGGCTGCCTCCAGGGGCTGGGATCAGGCCCTCGGACTGCCAGCTCCTCGGGCAGGGACCAGCGCTTCGTGTCTGGGCCGTGCCCGGCGCAGGGGGGCCTGTGGCCCAGGGAGCCGTAGATTCATAAATGCCAGGGCCAGAAGGGCTCACTGTGCTCACCTAGTCTGACCTCCGGGAGAACAGGCCAGAGACCCGCCCCCGCCCGCGCCGCAATTCCTTTGGCCCGAGGCATCACCCCGCCAGGGTGTTGAAAGCACTGAAGAAATAAGGCCCAAGAGGGGGCGATCCCTGGCTACACCCCCAAGTCAAACCGGCTTAATTTAAATCAGGTTCAGACTAGTTCAGTGAGAGTGGTGCAGAGCCAGTGTGGACACTCCTCCCCTACGCCAGGGCAATCGGTACAGGCCATGTTCCCCCTGGAGTCCGAGCGTCCACATGGCCAGGGGGCCACGGCACCACTTCCGGCTCAGCCCTGCAGCCCTGTCTGCACCGAGCGGTAACCCGGCGGGCGGGGCGGAGCTGGCGGTGCAGCAGCCGGTCCTGAGGAACGCCAGGCGTGGACACTCGTACTCGATCCCAGGGGGACAAGCCCCGTGTCAGGTGCAGCGCAGACCCGTGGGTCCCTCGGGCCCAGAGCGGGCAGCCGGACGCACCCGGGCTCCCCAGTCCCGGGGCCGCAAAGGGGGTGACAGGAGGGGTGATGTGAGGGACGGGCAGGGCGGGGCACTGGGGGCGCTCTCTGGAGCCGGGGGGGGGGGGAGGATGGAGATCAGGAGAGGGCACATCCGGAGCGATTTTACCCCCAGGGGTCAACCATAAAGCCACAGCTGGAGGTATGGGGGCCCTTTTCTCCTCTCTCCAGTCCCTGCCCCCCCTCGCCTGCCCACCCCAGCCTCCCGTCACCCCCGCCCCACAGGCCTCTGCCAACGCAGACACCGGACAGCAACCTGACCCTGGGCCGTGTCGGAACTGGGGTCAGCCACTAGAGGGTGCACCCTCCCCTGGATACACCACACACCCCAATACACAACACACACACTCACATCCCGATACACAACACACCCACCCGATATACAGCACCCACACCCCAATACACAACACACACA